CCTAAACTCTACCATGAAGTCATGCTAGGGAAGCTCAGGCCTGCAGAAGACAAAGCAGCCAATTTAACACATTTCTCTGCAGTGCCAGACTCTCCTCAGCCTTGACATTCACTAACTGGGACAGGAACCAGTTTGGCTTCTCTGCACCCACACTGCTGCACAGATCAGTTGCTGAGGAGTGAGGAGATTACCATGGGAATGAGATTTTGCTTCTTGAGGTCAAGAAGAGAACASAGATTTTCATAGGCATGGCACAAAGCACTGTACACAACGTCCCAGATCTGCAGGATTCACTGTCAGGGAATTGATGCTGATATGAAATCCCTTACCCTCTTCTCAAGTGGTTCTGAATGTTGCGATAAGCAGCGTTGAACATCTCCAGGTCCTCCTTTTCCCCAAAAAGGATGTAGGATTTCAGCAGGTACTCATAGAACGARTCCGACCCTGCTCCCAGGCCACTCTGCTTCCCAACCCAGTGACCAGTTTGGATATTCACAACATTTCCTTTCAGAACAAACAAAAAGTTGAGTCTGAAGCTGCTGAGYACATCAGAGAAAAACAATCCAGTCAAGCTTTGGAAACACAACACGTTCAGAAATTCCCAAGGAGGAAGGATCAAAGATAAACATCAGATAAAGTGTTACAGCAGTGGATTCATCTGAGGAACACCCACACACGTGGAGCTGTTTTAAGKACTTTTAGTCATCTGCCAATCTAAATTATATTAATGGGGACACAAATCAGGGCCTTCAGTTTCATTTCCCAGTTCTGTGAAAAATTCCATTTGAAAACCTAAGGAGTGCCTTAAGGAGTCATCCAGAGGCTCTATTTTTGTTAAAAAACCCCAAAGTGCTATTTGTTCAACACAACCCTTGGGTGCACAAGGGGAACATGACTGAACAGTCACAGAGGGAGCAGAAGGATAATTTTTAGGACACACAAAGGACCTGCAGCCAGGAGACACAGCAGCAGCAGCCAGACCTTACCCAGCAGTCCAGTGTGATTGCTCCTGAGGCTCCACAGGGCCTTCACAGCTCTCCTGGCCACCCATTCAAAYGTGGAATCACCAAGCAGCCTGCTGAGGATCCCAAACTCCACCAGCAAGGATCCAGCTCCTGCTGTGCAGGTCTCATTGTGGCTGTCTGGAGGAACCCCCTTCTTCAGGTTGACCTGTGAACAGGGACAGTGTTAACAGGGACAGGCAGGCTGTGCTCACAGCTGCACCCCACCTTTAGGAACAAACCTTTTTGGTGGTTTTTGTACAATATGCAGCATGGAACGTGCACAGAGACACAAAAGCAGCCCAGTGCTGCTTAGAAAGCTTTCCTGTACAACTCCTGAAATGCATCTTCCAGTTTTATAATGTCATGCTTCAACTGGCCAATCCTAACTTTTCTCTTCTGCTTGCTAATCTTCCCAAACTTCCCTCCACTTTTTCATCCTTCCCACTAAAAATTCAGGCTCTCCCAAGGGTGATGGAAATGCTGCTGCCTCTCAGTTTGTGCTCTTGACACCAAGAGCTTCCTCAGAGGGTGCTCCTCCCCTTCCCCATGGARCACAGCATGGAAAGGAAGTTACACCACCCTCAACTGCTTTACCAGGCTCTGAACAGAAGTGAAAATTCATGTTTCTACAGCCTGATAGCTCTGGAGGAAAAGCACTGCTGCTGTCTCCAGAAATTCAGAGCAGCCAGGCAAGTGCTAATTATAGTTTTGTAGTTTAGGGTTGCTCCAGTAGAAGTGGCAGCCTTCTCCTTGCCAACTGCATCTGCTTAAAACAAGAAGATCCAAGAATCCCCAAATATTGAGTACTCACTGAGCTGTATTCAGGAAAAGTATAAATTCCCAGCCCAGTATGACAAATATTTCAGAAGAACTTTATTCTAATACAATTGTTTTAGGAGCAAGTCACTAACAAAGTCACTTTTCTCAGCTATTTGCCTGACAGTATTCCTTGTTACTGACAGTATTGTTTGGTGCTGTGTGACACAGGGCAGGGACTGCTCCAGCCAAACAGCTCCAAAACAAACAAATCCTAACCCACAGGGAGCAACAAACACAGTGAAAAACCAGCCCAGGGAAAACATTTACTGGACAGAAGGAGCAACTTGTACTGCCCATGTCACCAAAACTTCGGGCAGTTTACCCCCGTGTCATTTCAGAATAACTTGAAGGTTATTCTGTACCCCAAGTACAAATAAAAAGGCACAAAATTTAAGCTGTAGGTCAGATGGGTTTCTACTCTGAGCCTATTTCCCCCCCAGGGCTGCTGTGCCCACTTACCCGAGGATAGGGAATGCCAGTTTTGGTGTTCTCAAAGGCGGGGAGCAGCCTCACTGCCAGGTCATGAGCCAAATGCAGCAGCTCATTGTCATAATCCTTAATGGTCATATCACCAAAGGGCTGCTTGGTGTCTGTAATTATGATGTGGGCAGACAGCAGACTTCCCAAAACCCTGCGGGGAAAAAAAAAATCAGGTTTTCAATCTGTTCTGAATCTCATTCTTCAGCTAAACCCTTACTGGTGTCATGTCTGACAGAATTATGACTTTGTGCACCTTAGAAAATGATGGGGCTTTCCCCCACCAACAGTGAAAATACACAGAAGTCATGCTGCTTCTACCACAGTATCACAAGAACTGCTTCTGCCAAATTTACCTAACCAGGAGCTCTTTAACAATGTACCACATCTAYTTAGGAGTGAGGACCTCCCTGACCCTGCAAACGGCAGGAAGGGTGTTACATAAACCTAAAAGGAAGCACTCCAAAAAAAGGAAACCCAGCCAAGTTAAGCAGGAATGAACACTGTTTGAGACACTCAGAAATGAAACCATTTCAAAGCAGACAGTATCTAATACCATTTCCAAGAAGATGGGTCTTGTTTTCAGCTAAAACAAAAGTGAAAGTGAGCAGAAGTCCAGGAAGAAAAGCAAACCAGCAAAAAGCTGCCGCAGAGCTGCTTGTTGTGCACAGATCTGAGCCTCTGCTGCAAGAGCAACAACAAAAACACAGCACAAACACTGTCTCACTGCTCCAGGTCACGTGTGACTCACTAAAATTGTTTCCAATAGGAAAGGATGGAATATTTTCATAGAAGATTAAGAAACAACTTACTTGAGGAACCATTATTGAACACAGCCTGCCAAAGACCTCCTAATCAATGATTTCATTTTGAGTTACACACACCAACTCTTTAGCCTTGTTACTGCTTTAAAGGCACAAAAGTCAGCACCACACACCTGATTGTTGCCTCAAAAACTTGGACTGTTGAGTCTTTGTCAAATGAAACCGTGTCAATCACCAACTTCACTGCCTTCTGGAATTCTGAGGAGTTTCCCATTACCTGCCACAGAAAAACAAAGCTATTTTCTACAATTGTTGCTTCAGAAGAGGGTTGGGGAAGACAATAGCAAGTTCACATATGAGACAGCAGTTAGATTCAGCACACTGAGTGTTCAAACACTCTGAACTATCAGTTCCAGAGTTAAATATAGCTTAAAATGTAGCTTGCAGAACAATGTGGTTTGATGTAATGTTTATTTGACCTGAGTGCAGCCTTTCAGGTTTCAGACCCAACACTGCACCTGCAGCTCCCTTGTGCCTGCCTTCTGCAGGCCTAACTTAGGATGGATTTCCACTACATCCAGAGATGGATGGAAATTCAGCCTGAGCTCTAAGGGAGCAGAATGCAGAAGGAAAAAACAGGTTCCTGCTTGCCTAAGTTCATGAAAAAGGTTTGGTTTACAGAGACCATGGCAAGATTTTTAACCAAAGAACCACATCCCAGCTTGCCCCAATACCCACACCCAGTGGGGAAGCAGCACGTTTGATCTGAGCAATGAGGAGCACAACAGGCTTCCCCCATGAAACACAGCAGATTTAGCAGCTAGAAGCTTTATATTTGAGAAAAAAAGAAGTCATGCACTGCTCTAGTGGTGATGCAGGGCAGGAAGGCACCGCTACCAGCACAGAGCACAGATCCCAAACTTCTCTTTCAGTAAAAGCCACTGTTTCTCTCCCTTGTGTTTCAGTTCTGCTCAGAGCTGCCCTGCTCAAGCAGCTCCTCACCACTGCTGCAGTGCCAGGGCACAATGGGAAGGGTCTGATGTCCCAAAGTACACAAATCACCTTGTGCACAAGAGGAGATCCACACCCCACAGGGCTTCAGCACATCAGTGAGCCCCAGCACTCCAGAAGGCACAAAACCCCAGCCTGGCTGCACAAATGAGAACAGTGAAACCTGTGAGGGTGTCTGAACATGCCCAAGCAGGGAACTCTTTCCCATGACACCCTGGCTCTACGGACATAAAACCGAGCTGCTCCTCACATCATCTCCCAGTTTTATCAGAAATGCAGGTSAGCAGCAGCTTTACAGGCTTTCCCTTCCTTCCTTTCACCCCTCTTGACACAGCTCCGTGTGTCTGTCAGGCCCTCTCTGCCAAATGAAACAGAGCCAGAGCTCTTCCAGCTATTGAGCACACGATGAACCCTTCTCCTGATGGACCTCACACCAATCCCAGTTYAAACCCACCCTTCCTGAGCACCAGAGTGGTGGCGTATCCCAAAAACAGATCTCGCCTGAACCTCGGGGAACAACTCCAAACTTTCTGTGTCTCTCCTGGAAATCTCTGCTGACATCCCCAACTACTCTTACTCTCTTACCCCCTGTGACACTGCTGGCTCATGGTACAGCTGTTAAGTTTGTGATCCAGCTGTTAGCTCACAATCCAGCTGTTAGCACCCCCAGCCCCAGCAGGTCCCAGGGTGACCAGGGCAGTGTCCCCACCCCAAGGACTCACCGCCAGCGTGTCCAGCGCGTCGATCAGCGTCAGGGAGTAGTTCCCCAGCACATCATTGATGTTCAGGTTGGAGCTGGAAGAGCAGAATCACAGAATGGTCAGGGTTGGAAGGGATCTCTGCAGATAATGCAGTCCAACCCCCCGCCCAGGCAGGGTCACCTGGAGCAGGGGACACAGGAACGTGTCCAGGTGGGTGTCAATGTCTCCAAAGAGGCAGATACCACACCTCCCTGGGCAGCTGCTCCAGGGCTCTGCCCCTTCCATGGAATGAAGTTCATTCCAATACCTGAAGGGAGACTACAAGGAATATGGAGAGGGACTGGAGTGACACGACAAGGGACAATCACTTCAAACGTAAAGAGAGTAGATTTAGCTCGGATATTAACAGGAAATAATTCCCTGTGAGGGTGCTGAGGCACAGGGTGCCCAGAGAGGCTGTGGAAGCACCCGAGGCCAGGCTGGACATTGGGGCTGGGAGCAGCCTGGGACAGTGGGAGGTGTCCCTGCCATGGCTGGGGTGGCACTGGATGAGCTTTAAGGTCCCTTCTCACCCAACCATTCCACGATTCACACGGAAGTGRAACCTGAATATTTTATTTATGGCCATTACCAAGCGCCCTGCCGCTGGGGAGCACCGGGCAGAGGCCGTGCCCCGCTGGCACACACACACACACCCGGACTGCTGCCAGTCCAAGCCGTGCCCAGCCTGCCCCGCTGGCACACACACACACACCCCCGGATTGCTGCCATGCCCATCCCGGCCCCTCAGCCACTGTCACCCCGCACTCACGGGTCGCGCCGGTCGGGCCCGCGGCCGCGGCAGTGCAGCGGGTCCAGCTCGTCGCGGGGGAAGGCGTGCTCCATGTAGCTGTCGTAGCCGAACACGAACATGCCCCG